GTGATATCAGTGATGACAAAGAATTATTCAATTAACTGTTAATATGGTTCTGGCTTTTTGCTTTACTACGTTTCGAGAGAGAGAGAGAGAGGGAGAGGGAGAAAGAAAAAAGGAGAGAGAGACGAAATACATTCTTCATGTAACTCTCTGATATCACAACGATATGGTTGCATTGCCTTTATATTTACGTATTCTCCATGTAATTTAGTATATCTCCTTTCAGACGTGATACAATGTCAGGTTGTACTCGTGGTAAGGGTCGTTCAAGATGCCATATTAATAGTAATAATTTGGACGTTTCTCTCGATAGGAATAATATACCAAGTACTTTATTTTGCTCCAGTATAGGTTTTCAAAATTGAACAACTGGTTTCAAGAAGCATTTCTTCTACCCAAAAAATTTCTAATTTTTTTTTGAATTGAACAGAATAACGGAATACTATTACCAATTTTTTTGTATTTATTTTATTTAATTTTATTCACTAATATCAATTTTTTTCCTTTTTTCCAGGAAGAAATTCAGATATGAGACAGTCTGATTCATTGAATCATTCACGGAATTTGGGATTAGAAGTAAGTTATGTTTATTGTTCCACTACCAGTTCCTTAGGCAAGTCACTAAACATAGCGCCTTTTATTGGGGAAAAAAAAACAATGTTAGAAGATGCATAGCTTAGTGGAAACCGATAATTGATTAACAGATAATGTATTAGTAGCAGCATTCTTGAAGTTAGTTTTTGGCACCCAGGAAGGTTTTTAAATCATTTACGGCATTATGCTTTATCACAAATATTCATTCATATGCAACCCGAACTTTTTCTGAGACTGCCATAAGTTGCTGATATTCCAGTTTATTAATAAGTAAGCGTCTTTCGGTTAACTATAACCACACCATGACTAAATGTGTATGTCGATGAAGGGAAAAAAAATTGCAAAATTCCGAAACTTTAAATAACGTTACATGCAGGTCATGGATGGACGTAGAAAAACTTTTGCTTATCAATAAAACTGTTGTATCCAATTCTGTATAGTTTTTTTTCTTGCATTTCAGAATGACTGCAATAATAGCTCACATTCCGCGTCTAGAAATATTTCGTTACAGTCTTGCTTTCAAAATATGCCACAGAGCGCAAGGTTCCAGATCAATTTTTTTTTTTCAGTAGTACTAAGTAATTTATAATAATTTTTTTAAGAGTGTGAAGAAAGAAGACACGGTTATTGATAAGAATGATCAGAATTTATTTCGCTTACAGAATTTCATCAATTCGTTCTCCTTGCATACTTCCACAGTTACCTCGGGCCAATATACAACAGAAAGTTATTGTAAGAACGAACGTTTATGTGTTGGAAATAACAGATCGCATCGTTTATCGTTATGATGTGCGCATCGAAGCGTATTCTGGAAGACCTCATACTGCCAACTCTGCAAAAGTAAACTTATGTCGTGGAAAACAGGAGTAAGTGTTACTTATTTACTATATTGTTCGCATTTAAATTCATCGAATATGCAAGAGTGACTATTCTTATCCATGTTTTTAGCCCTTATCGAGCTAAGAAATGTATGTTTTTAATCGACATGGCATTGAGAAGATATCGACAACTTAATGAATTTGCATATGCGTACGATTTATCGAGCACATTGTTCACTAACCAACCACTGGACTTAAAAGAGGTAGGTATGATAAAATAAGAGATAAATGGGCAGTTTGTATAAGGGATGTGTATTGCACTGAAAAATTATTGTTAACTTTTTAATTCGGAATAAAATCAAGAATTTTAGCGAGGATTTTGAATGTGAGTCTGCAAGTTTTGTTTATTCCCCCATTTCTGAGATTTCGTGTTCTTTACAATCAGCCAAGAAATTAGTCTTTTCTTATTGCTGAAATTCTGCTTTTTGCAATTGGAAAAGATCCTTGTAGACCTTTGTAATGATCTTGCGCTTTAGATGTGTTGGTTGGATAAGGAAATCCTAAAAGATGCAGAAATGGCACATGAATGAAGAAATTCAAATGCTCTCGGTTAACTAGTAGGCCTTATTTTTAGGTGTCTGAAATCACCATATCATCCAATAATTTGCAAGAATTGCAAGAAATGTTTGGTAGTAACATCAACATATGTATAAACATAAGCGAGTGCCGAGAATTTGCCCGCTCATTTCATACATCAGATTTCAACTCATCTATCACGCCCGATTTGTTGGCTCAAGATCATTCTTTGCGTCAGTTTTATGAAATCCTAACAAACCAATATGGTTTGCGGAGGTAGGTTTAATTCTTGTGGATTTTCATGGCTTTCGTATAGTGGAAAAATTTCTTTCTCTCATTTTGACTGCATTTTTGATCTCCAATTTTCTTTATCCTCAATTGTAATTTTTTGCCTGGATGATGGCATGTTTCGGTCATATGAACCTGTGGCAATACGATATCAAAATTTATTATTTCTCGACACATTTTAAATTGATCTGTGTATGGCTTGTTCACGTCATTTTGTTTATGCGCAGCTATCAAATTGATCTAATATTAGTATAAATGAAGCAGTGTTCAATTTTCTTATTTTAGTGGATTGTATTTCTCATTCGGTTATGGTCGATTATATAAAGAAAAAGGCAACATTAAATTGAGAGATGGAATTACACTATCCATGGGTATCGATAAAAGTGTCCGTTTTATCGAAGGCAGTCAGTCAACCGGTTTGGTTCCAGCATTGGTACTTGATGGTATGCCTGTTATTAAATAATTTTTTACTACTTTGAACGCCAAATATGATATATTCTTTTTTAAAAATATTCTAATCTTTTTAGAAAAGAAAACGCCATTTTTCAATGAAGAAACTTTCATGAATTTTGTCGCTGAAATATACAAACCAGGATCTCCAATTCCGTCCATTCCCCATTTGAATGGAAAAAAATTTGAAGAGTTTATACGCTGTGTTGAACGAACGATCAAAGGTAAGTTTCTTAATTTTAATAGAAGAAAGATTTAATATTTTTTTCCATTTTCCATTCCAAAAAACTGTAGAAGCTGATAAGAAATTACTTTTCGATATTAGTTTCAGAAACATATATGCCTTTATATATAAAATTCCATTTTTTTATAAAATATAGTAAATGTTTTATAAAAGTGGAATTTTTTCAGTATTTGTCAGCTTAAATTATTTGTGATTTTACTTAATTCCTCATTAAGAGTTACGTATGTCTGAATGATGTTTTTAATCTTCCAGGTCTTCGTCTCATCCGCTCAAATAATACTAAAACATTCATTGCAAGTGGCTTGTCATTGCAACCAGTAAGAGATCTTAGGTGCTTAAGTTCAACCAATTCATTTGCATCACTTGACACTGGTTTTTGAAATAAAATTCAACTGAAATCTTACTTATTAAACTGGAAAACTGGTTTTTAATGTCAGGAGTGAATTAGCATGACCATTATTGTTGAGCAATTTATGCTTGCAGAAATGAACGAATGCCGCTAATAGAAGCATATAAAAGACTGGGAATTGATATCAGGTTAATTTTCGCTCATTCTTAGAAAGTTATCATTGCTAAACGATTGTAATGTTTTCCAATACTTCCACTGAGTTTTGTGCATTGAGTTCAGAAGTTCGGACTGAATTCCATTAATTTTAAATACATTTTTAGGTCTGATTTACCAGCTGTTGTTTTGAAATCGCGCAGCGGCAAAGCTTTTTTCCCATTTGAAATTTTATACGTTGCACCAAATCAGAAGGTCTCAGATGCAAAGCTTCGACCGAATCAGAAACAAGCCTTAATGAAAGTGAGATTCGACGTTCAATTTATTTATTTATATTTGTCGACTTCTTCCCATTCCCACATGAAAATACAAGTTTACTTTCCTTCATTGCTATCCATAATACATCGTTTTTTTGAATAAATTTAGCAAAACATTTCTTTCGCGCACGATTTTGCTGGTTTTTTGCAAACCGTGATTACTTAGATTTATGGCTTCAGAGAAATTTTGCGCTGTAAGAATGGCATTAGTTGAAGATAGCAATTAACACCAAGACAGTCATTTGTTTATTTACCTCCATACATTTTTTAGAGTTCTGTCGTACCTCCGGACATACGACATAAAGAAATAGGACGACATATGGAAGCGTTAAATTTGAGCGGAAGCAAATTCAATCCCATTTTGGCAGCATTTGGTGTTCGAATTAGTAAGAACCCAATAGTGGTACGTTTTTGAACTGCTAGTTTTCTTTTTGGGTTGGATTTTCATAACTTATGCGAAATAAATTTCTACATTAACTTGCTACGACGCGGAGACGAAGATAGGTCAGTGTGAGCGAAGAGGAAGTTATGCCTGTACTCGGTTTTTAAAGCGACTTCGTTTCAGCTTGAAGCTAATCGCCGTGTGCCACCACGGATTTCTTATAACCCGAAGTGTACCATGAATGTTACACCAAATAAGGTATTAATATTAATTTACAATGAAAAAAGTTGAAATTAATCTGCTTCCGAAAAGGTCGAAGAGAAAAATTACGGTTGGCGTGATTAAATAAATAAAAAAAATTTTTTGTTTGAAAACTTCTCTCATTTTATTGATAGTATAATTTTTTTCCATTGTTTTTTAAATAGGAATATGGCTTTTAGGCTAGCTGGGATCCTGGAAATAATCAGTTTGCGGTTCCAGCAAAAGTTGACAATTTCCATCTGTTTTATGACAAGGACTGTAATGAAGGTGTTATGACGTAAGTATCATTTTTAGACATTTAGAAGCAGGAAGTTAAAAAAATAGATGAGAAGGTATCTAACAACTTGGTTGAAATGATCTTCAATTATTGCTATTACAGCTCAAAATTATCTCGCTTTCGTTATTCTTATGTCCTGATTTAAGCGTAGAATTGATTTATAATAATGGAATTTTTCTCTTTAGGTAGCAGCAGTATTAACACCAAGTAATGAAAAGTTCTGATTTTGTTTCTTTAGAAATCAGAACCCAATAATGCGTAAAGATTTGAATAAACGTTCCAACTTATTTCCTTCCGAAAGACAAAATTATTTTGATCTGATTCAAGTTACAAATTATCCGCATTTGTCTGTAGAGTGCTGTCTTGTAAATGAAAATTATTTCTGTATCATTAGATCGATCTGTGTTGAAAACAAAATGGTGGTAGCATTCATTTATTTTTCGAAATTTGGTGGACAAGTAATTATGCCACATTCTCTGAACTTCGTCGTTTCGTAATTCTTTTTCATTCTATTTGATTATAATATGTATTTTTAGGAATTTTTTCCATTCAATTTGTAATACTGCGCTGATGAGGGGTATAAATTTCAATAAGAAATTCAAGAAGGAAGTTTGCCCAAATGAATTGGAGGCAAATATAAAAAAAGTTATAATGGGATCGTCTGGTGCAACAAATTTTTTCATGTATGTTGACGACAAAGAACGTACTCATGGTTAGTGCTATTCACTTATCGAATTACTAAATATAATTGATCCATCTTAAGCATTTAATTCATTTGGTAGTTAATGATCAGAACTTAAAGCAAGCCAGGAAGTTAACCCACAGTTTCGTTAATTAGTTGATTAAACAGGAATAAATTGATGACTAATTTTGCTTCTTTTCAAAAGCTAAAGTGAGATTTGTTTCGTTTAAGAATATCAAGAGGAATTCTGCTTTCAAAAATCATTAAATGTCATGAGGCACATTTCGTTAAATTCTAGTTTTAAAAGTACAATTCAAATAGTACAATTGAAAACGTATTTGAGGTCAACTTAAACTGTATGAAGCACTTTATCAAGTGGTGACGCAACATGTAAAATATTCCACTGTAACAGATAAGAGGCACTCACTTGAAAATATCATCAACAAAATGAATGTCAAAAATTTTGGTCACAATTATCATATTATACCGGAAAATTATGCGTTAGTTTTCCATTATCTTCTCAATTTTCATTTCCATTACTTTATCTAATTAAAATTCAATGGTTGCTGAAAATTTTCTTAAAACTTTAATTTTAATATCATTTAAATACTGTTATCAGAATTAAAAGATGGTTATCAAGTGGTGATACGCTTGTTATTGGATACGATGTTTGTCATCCAGAAGCACAATCTGCAGTTGAACGTCGTTTGAATTTGATATTTTCTCAACCAAGTGTTGTTGGAGTGAGCTTCTTTTTAATTTTTCTTATAATTTTCACAGATCCATTAAGATGCTGCTTTAGATGAAATGGAAGACAAGAGAGAATCATCCATATGCTAAGTATTCATTTTTATATGTTATTGTGAAAGCACTTTCTGATCTGTTAATTTTAAGTAATTTATAGTTTTCGTTTAATGCTGCGAAGGAACCAGAAACTTTCATTGGGGATTACGCATTTCACGAAGCAAAGCAGGAGCAAGTCACTAGTTCTATCCTCGAAGGTCGGATGTTTCATATTTTGAAATTATTCCATAAAATGCGTGGCAAGTTGCCGACACTAATTATTATCACACGTGATGGTGTTTCAGAAGGACAACATAAAATGGTAAATTTTCTGTTTTATTCTATAAGTGGAAAGTGAGAGGAAGGAAGATGTGAAGACAGCAAGAGAAAAAAATATAAAATTTTTTTCGTAACTATTAAATAAAATTTCGTAACTAAGAAAAATAAATCCTGAAGCTAACGAATTGAGTGGGAATGTTGCATTCATATTTTACTTTACCGGATGTTCCAGGTGATGATAGACGAATTGGAAGCTATACGTGCTGGGATACAAAATTATGCCGATTTTTTCAAAGGAGCAGAATATAAACCAAAAATAGTACTTCTTATTGCTGTGAAACGTCACAATAAGCGTTTCTTTATTGAGACAGAAAAGGGTCAGAATAAGTTCTGATTATTTCTACATTAGTGTTTCAGGAGTTAGGAAGAATGGGTTTGTGGATGGTAGTATTTAATATTTTTTAAGCCTATACCTGATAGCGAAAAGATCGTTGCATGTGTGGTGAGATAAATTTTCGTAATATCTGGAACTGTTGCTTCCTGCAAATAAGTTTTTGTTGATTAGCACAGTTTTGCAGATCTGGGTTAATGCAAGTTTATACCTATCTCACATGGTGTAAAAATTTTTTACACTTAAAGCAACTTCTCTATTCAAATTTTCCATACTTTATATTACATATTTATTTTGGAAGTGGGACTTGTAATCTAAAGCATGTTTATTTAGAGTTTTACTCTTTTTTTTTCCAGGAGTGGTTCAAAATTGTTTGCCTGGAACCGTTATTGATCATACGATAACCCGTGTCGATGCAACAGAAATTTTTTTGCAGTCACACAAAGTGATAAAAGTATATTTTTTTAATATTTGTATAAAAACATTTCGCTGGTATCATTATTTAATATTATTCGATGATTGCCTTCGTAAATTAGCAAAATTTCCTTCGTATATTATATCAGAATTTATTTGGAATAAACGTTCTTGATAAAAGAAGGCTTAAATAATAATGGAATATAAAGTTTAATTTTTAGGGAACTGGAAAGATTCCAGCCTATACACTATTAGTAAATGAAGCTAACATGGAAATGGATGAGTTACAAGCGTTTATCAATGCTCTTTGCTATAACCATCAAATTATCACCTCAGCAGTTTCATTACCAGAGCCAATTTATCAAGCAGACGAATGGGCAAAAAGAGGACGTAAAAATTTTCAGGCTATGTAGTAAGTTTGCCCAAATATACAATTGTTCCACGAGTTTAAATAATATTATTGACTTATGCGTTTCCAACTCTGTTGCAGTTTTTGTTTATTTTATCCTTGATCTTCATTATAAATTCGTAGTTATAGGTAACTTAAAATGCAAACACCGATAATCTCCAGAAAAGGAGAGCTGTTGCCATAATTTAAGATACGCAATGATTAATGTTACATTAATTTCTGATGTCACTTTTCATCTCACATTCGTGTTAGCCTCTTTCTATATCCCTCTCTTTCTCTCTCTTTCTCTCTCTATGTATATACGTATTTATTCTTGTATTCCAGCCAACAAAGACTTGATATGTTACCACGCAAACCAAATGGAAAAGTGAATTGGGATGAAGTAACGAATGAACTTTGTTATATGGGTCGCGAACTCGAATTAACAAGATCGAACGCCTAAATTTTTCATAGTTCAGTTCTTTTGTCTTTAACTTTTAAAAATATATAGAATCTTCAGTTTTGCACAGAAACCTTTTGTACACATCATTATTCAGTACTATTTCCACTTTCGGGTGTTTAAGAAAAGTGCCAAGATTTTACAGAAAAAATTAGTAATCGGAAAATATTTATTGAACATTCATTGGAAATGTATTGAACACTTATAAATTCGTTACTTATTATATTTTTTAGTCTACTAAAAATTTAGTCTAAAGAAATTAAACGCAAGCACCGATTTTATTTTGAATAGTGAATTGATGCAGCAAACAATGACTTTATTCTTTTCCATTTTATTGCTTAATTGTTCAATACACAATGTAAGTTGCTTTGGTTTAAATGTATTCATCCGTTTCAAATGCTGTTCTTATTATAACTTTTGAGTCGAAACATAAAATAGTATATTGCTACTTTTTGTACATATCAGCTATTACCAGAGATCGTTAATCGCCTACCTTTCAAAGAATAACTATGAACGTTAACTATGCAACTAGTATGTATGCATATTTCTGTTGCTTTAAAACTGCATATGCAAAAAATTTGTCGTACTGATAGCTAATAATTTTGCATGTGTTTTTAACTTCTTCATGAACATTGTAACGTGTAACGTGGGTAAATTGTTCGAAACATTCTGTTGCTAACGATAATGAAAAGCTAATTTTGAATGGTTATTAATTTTTTTAATTTCGTTTATCGATATGCTAAGAACTCATCGTTTAATTTACTGTTACTTATTAATGTTTGTAAAAGATTTAATCTTGTCCGAATTTTAAATTTAAGCTTTCCAAACAAAAGAAGAATAAGTGAATAATTGCTACTAGGAACATAAGTTAACGATTATTTTCTGTTTTTTATCTCTATGCATAGGAAATATTTAGATTTGGTTTTCAAAATATCTCATTTTGATTTAGAAAGTATGAAGAATTAAAATTTCCCAAAAAAATTTTAGAAGTTTCAGTAGAGAATTTTTTAATCCGAAATAAGTGAAGGAGTCTAATACTCACTTTGAAGCTTAGTTTAGAATTTCTTGATCTGTACTTTCAGGAATTTATTCATATTGTTGTGTTTTCTTCGCTTTAGTACATTTTTGAAGTTTTCACATATCATGCATTATTTAAGAAATATACCTTTCAAGCATTATACTGCACTAACAACTGTTACTCTTTCTTATAAATACGGTACGAAGTTCACTTCATAAAATGGTAATTAGTATGGTATTGTAATGACATTTAAATACCGTAAACCATAAATAATGATAATGTCTTTCTGCAGAGCAATCCATAATTAATTACTAATTTATGATAATTTATGATAATGCTCATAGCTTTATTATATACTGAAGATTTGTCTTCTTGGTAAAAGCATATCATGACCAGAATTTGTTTGTTAAGTGATTTGAAGTTTAGATATACTTTGGCTTACTAGGTGCTTCGAAAAGCGTCTATTCTATCTCTGTCCCTACTCATCGAATCCTCTCAATTATTGTTTTCTACTTTAAAGTTAAGAAACAAGCTTATATTCCTTCATTAACATATCGTTGTATATATTTTAGTTCTACTACACATTACATTTTATTGTTCGCATATTTTTGTCTCCATGGAAAGTTATTAAGAGGTTTCATTCATCCGTTTTACATTGCAGTTACACTTATTTGCTAATATATTTTTGCAAGTTTGATCAATTTACTTCTAGATAAAAAAGAAAACCGTTTCTTTGTTTGTCACATAATATCTGAATGTGATGACTTGCTTCAAAATATATTCATTTGGTTGAAAATTGGTGGAAAATTAGGAAGAGTAATATGTTGAACCCAACCAAATATTTCTAACTCGTCATACTACTTTATTGTTTTGAGATTGTCAGAATACTACCAGCTTAATCACTCTAATAGATCTTTTTTCATGCGAGATGGAAAGAAATTATAGTATAAAAATTTGTGGTTTTTATATCGCAGATCAAATTGTGTTTGATGGCACTATTCAAGTAGCTGAATTTGGCGAACGATATACTTCATAATAGGATTTTGTTTTTTCCTGTGAGTTTTTTTTGAAATGGAAGAAGCACAATTGCCTGGGACATCTTTGTGCGCCGATTCCAAAAGTGGGGAAGAATCTGAAGAACTGGGAATTAGTTTGTTATCATCATCATCATCGAAAACAAAGGTTTGTCTTTTTGTTCCCCTTGATGTATTCGAACATTTAGTAGTAATGGCGAAAATTTACTTTTGTTTTATCTTTTGTAGAAAAGTCATATTTCGAAAGCAACAACTTTTCCTGAACTTGGTTTAAGTAAGTGGCTTTGCGATCAATTGCGACGTCTTGCCGTGAATACTCCGACTCCAGTACAAGTGAGGATTATCAGTTGCAAGCAGTTCCTCGTGAAAAATATCCTCATATTCATTGAAAAACTTAATTAATGGAAGTATGCTTTCATTAAAATCATTAGATTCATGTTTTTTCCTTTCAGGTAAATTGTATACCTCATATCCTTGCTGGTAGTGATGTATTGGGTTGTGCAAAGACTGGAACGGGTAAAACATTAGCATTTGGATTACCAATCTTACACGAGGTTTGTTTGTCTTTTCTGGTACAGATAATCTAACCAATAAATATCTTGAAGGGAACGGTTCGCGAGTGATTTTCCAGAAGATGGATATGACATCTTCGTGTCTTTTATCATACTGTGGACGACAAAATAGTTTTATTGCAGTACTTTTGTTAATTGTATTTGCATGAAATCTATTATTTCTGAATTAAATAGTTTATCAAGGTGATATCATTTGTATAAATTCGTATTACAGTTGACACTTGATCCTTACGGTATCTGTGCTCTGGTGTTAACGCCAACACGAGAACTTGCCATGCAAATTGGGGATCAGTTTGCCGCGCTCGGTACACCAATTGGTCTTAAAATCGGTATTATAATAGGTGGAAAAGATCGCGTTGCCCAAGGCAACGACTTGGCAAGGTATATTTTAAGAAGTTTTGTTACTTCATTAATTGCTGTTAAATTTTAAAAGAAAACACGTTATTTATAGGCGACCTCATGTTGTTGTTGCAACACCTGGACGGTTAGCTGACCATCTAGAAAGTGACTCTGAGAATACTGGGAAGTTGTTCGAAAAACTACGATTTCTGGTGCTTGATGAAGCCGACCGTCTTCTAGATGGACAGTATTCTATAGAGGTAAGTGATTTTTTAAGTTGAAAAAACTTTTTTAGTGGCATTTATTTTTGTTTTTGTTGTACGGCAACACTAAAAGTAACCGGTATTCTGCAGACCAGAATATGGTATATCTTTTCCTCTCAAACACTATAATGAGGGTAGAGTTAAGAGAAATATAAGGATATTTTCGCCGTATTTAAGCTAATATATTTTGCAGTTAAAAACTATCCTGAGTTTTCTACCGAAACAGCGACAAACTCTGTTATTTAGTGCTACAATTACGTCCGCGTTAAGTCAACTACATCAGGTGATCTTTTCGAAGTTCCTTTTTTTACAGAAAACAGTTAAGTGGATGTTGCGTGGTATCACTTGCAATGCTTTGTTGCCATATTTCAGGTGTCCATCAAAAAACCATACTTTTTCGAAGACAAAAGTGAAATTGCTACTGTTGACAAACTGGAGCAAAAGTATGTGCTTTGTCCGTGTGCTGTAAAAGATGCGTATTTAGTATACGTTGTAAAGAATTTTCATGAAAAGCATCCAGATAGCTTGATTTTGATATTTTCACATACGTGCCGGGAATGTCAAGCATTGGCAATTATGTTCCATGGATTGGGTTTCCAGGTCTCTTTGTTTTTACATATTGAATTTATGAGCGAGAAAAAAAAAAGAAACGACATATTTTCAGAATACATATTGTTTTCGTATATTTAAAAAAAATTTTCAAATGATGAATATCATTCCATAAGATCTGCTTATGTTTCATCTAGAGTTTTGAAATGGTACTTAAATTCAAAATACTTGAAGTACTTAAAATGGATAAGTGATTATTGACTGGACAGTAGAAAAATTACAGGTCGGATCATTACACTCTCAGATAGATCAACAGGAAAGAACATCCTCTTTAACGAAATTCCGATCTGGCCGCATAAAAATTCTAATATGCACAGATGTTGCGTCACGTGGACTTGACATACCTCATGTAAATTTTTACCATTGGTTTGTAAAGGCTGCCTCATTTAAATCATATAGGTTTATGAAAACATCGGTATTGTAAGTCTTCATTTTCTTGTACAAGTTATGTACAAACACCGATATACTAAACAAAATTAAATTCTGGATTTCATAAGGTGCACTAACTGTAAATTGTTGACTGTAACTGTGTAACTCAGGTCGATCTAGTTGTCAATCACAATGTGCCGCAAAATCCCAAAACTTATATACATCGTGTTGGTCGTTCAGCTCGAGCCGGAAGATTCGGTTGCGCACTTTCATTTGTCACTCAGTATGACATATTCTTGCTGCAAGAAATTGAAAAAGTAATTAGAAAAAAATTGGATAAACTTGTTGTCAATGATAAAAAGGTTATTGTTTTTTTACATTAGAGAAAAGAGTTAATCATATTTCAATTACCTGAGGATTTTGGATGAATGAAAGAATCACTATAGGTAACGCAGTATGTGACACAAGTGCTAGTAACAAAACGGGAAGCTGAAATTAAGCTAGACCAACAAAATTTTGGTGAACGGAAAGCAATAAATAAGCGAAAAGAAATGCTAATCGCTGGATTGGATCCTGATGAGGTTGAAAGGACCTTGAAAATGCAACGTGAACAAAGGTAAGTGTTGCTGCAATGTATTAATAATAGGGAATAGAAACGAATACACTGTAATTCCTGGTCATGATTCTAGCATGTAAAGGATTTTGTATAATATAAAAAGATGGCAAACGTATTTCTTAGTGTGTGGTAAATGTGCAACTAATTTACAATGGTGTAATTGTTTAACTGGAAAAGCTTTTT